TCTAGCTGCCTTTTGAAATCTATTCACTTCCCATTTTGTCGTCATTTCTTTTATTCACCTTGGCTTCTCTCTATTCTCGAGCAAGTTTCAGAATCTCTTCTGACATCTTTGTTGGTCTTTTCCTTCCAGTGACCATTTGCTTTCTTCACCTATGATGTTCGTGATGTCACCCCACAATTTGACCAGTATTAGAGTTGATTGAATTTGAAACCTTAGTGGGTGTGCCTATTTGAAAACTACCCAGGATAAATGAATATCTTGTTAGCAAAACAGAAAACCTCTTGGTGGGAGATAAATTTTGTGGAATTAATGCATGATAGAAAGCAGATGGGATGAATTAAAATAGTGAAGAAACCCATCAACCAGAGCAAACACTAACCAGAAGGGAGGAACAGCTGTTAAGGATGTGTAAACTCAGAGAGAGGTAAGAAAACTGACGGTGGTCCCAAGGCGTTCACCTCGCTGATTGAAGAGTAATGCTCAAAGCAGTTGGGCTGGTCAGAATTTTCTCATTCTCTTTGCTTTTCTGTTTCATTCAGGTATGGAAACTCAAGATCTGTGCTGTAAGCTACACTGCTTTTCAGAGGTGGTTTGTGGTGTGAGTGTGGCCAAGGAGGGAGGCACTGTGGAGTTCAAGTTAGGCAGCACAGAATACAGAGTTGCATGGCAGAAAAGGAAGGTCATGTCCAGAAGCAGATTGACACAAATGCGAGGGAGACCCAAGCCGGCTGCCTAAGATAGGGGACCAGACCGATCAAGACCTGCGGAGATGAAGATTTAAAACAAGAAAGACAAAGACCAATATAAATAATAACTTACAGCATTGTTACATATTGTCTTGTTGGGAGGAAGACTTGACACAGTGACAGTGGGCTCAAACATCTCAGACCTGGTGAGGAAGGCACAGGGTAGAACCGGGTTCTGATCTGTTCTTCATAGGGTTGCTGTGAGTGGTTATCAACTCAACTCCTGACAACGACGATATAAATAAAACAGCACATAAGAATCAAAGATGGCAGGGAAGAAAAAACCCTTTAGTTCTCCTCAGAGACCAAACGCCTGCTCACTTCTCTCATAAGACAGGTGAATCCCAGCGGAGGGTCACCTATGAGCTGACTCCATTTTGATGGCAAGGAGAGTTAGAAAGAGTTGTGAATTCCTAAGACCAAAATTAGCTACCTTTAAGACAAAAACTCAACCTGATGCTGAGAATACTGCATCCATTCCTTCCTGCAGTAAAAAATATGTGAAAAAGAAAGTGAAGTTATTTTTAGAATCTGAAATTGTTGCTTCTGCTAACTCCATACCCAGCACAAATGCATCTCTTGTTTAGTGGGTTTTTTCCCCCGAATTATAGAAATTATTGGATTGAAAATAGTGCTAATTGATAGTCAGCATCACAGTGATCTATTGGAAAATTCAAATAACTATTTGAAAATTTCCTGTGTTGGAAATGTTTGGATTGTAGAAATAGGAATACATTTCTAGGGTACAAACCTAACTGAAAAGGTAAGGAGTAACACAGGTCCCGGAGTACTCAAATAACTTTGATAAAGAATAACAAAGTGGGAGGAACCATTCCAGCTCGTGTTTGACTTCCTGGCTAATTTTGCAAGGAGCTTTTGTTAGACACCTAAGTCAATGGAGCTTAACAGTTATTACTAGGTGCTATTGTGTTGAGTATAACCCTGTGAACAAGATCTGAACTTAATAGAGAACCCAGAAATAGACCTACCCAAGTGATTTCTTGAATGATAGCCTTTCCAAGGACAATGCTGGCTGAGAAAATGAGCATCCATTGGAGATTGGGCCCGTAACTGTAGCAACAGGCTCACGTATGTCTGAGATGATACGGATGGTACCTGTCTATTTTTCACAGGGTCACTGTGAGTTGTACTCGACTCAGCAGCACCTAACCACAACAACGATGGGGGAAAATACATGAAGGAATTATGACCTAAACTAGAAACTTTATTCAAAAACTAACACAAAGTTAATTGTAAAATTTAAAGGGAAAAATATAGAAGAAACTCTGTAGGACTGAAGGTTAGACAAAGAACTTTTGCATTTGATACCAAAAGCATTAATCCCTAAAGAGTAAAATTAATAGAGTGGATGTTGTCTAGATTAAATTCTTTTCCTTTGAAAAAGATTCTGTAATGTGGTTAAAAGACAACCTACCAACTGGGAGAAAATATTTGCATACCATGTAATTGAGACTGGAAGCAGGAGTGGCATCCACTTCCGAAATGACTTGCCTCCGGAAACTACGAACAGTGCTCAGGCCTTCTGTTCATAGGATCGCTAGAGTCGTCTATGACTCGACGGCACCGAATAACAACAACAGGTAATTGAGAAAGGAATTGTATCCAATAGCAGAGAAACAAGCCAGTTGTCACATAGGCAAAGGACACCAACATACAGGAAATGCTTAGTTGCAGTAACCCTTTGGGAAGGGCAAAGTAAACCACATTAAGAGATTATAGCCACCAAAGCAACTAGAAATGCTACTGAGAGATGATATTTTTAAAATATTAGATCATTCCTCAGCTCTGGCAGGAGTATCTGTCCTAATATGTGGAGGAATATTGCTTTCTCGTCCAGGTCTTCTGGAAAACAGTTTGGCAGGTTTTGTTTTTAATATTTATTGTCATTTAACAAGTTGTAGAGTCAGTTGGTTTTCCAAGCAACACGTTCAACACTTTGCCCACATTTTGCCTTGTGACATTCTCTCTCTTCCTGTGTTGACTGTTTGCATTTGCCATGTCCCCTGTCCTCTCCCACTGGCTCCGCTTTGCCCCTGGGCGCGAGCTGTCCTTTTGATCTTGCAGGGTTGATGTAAGAAGCGTGCATCTTCCTAGTGTTACTGTTTATTGGATAGACCTGTCTGACATTTGCCTGAAAGTTTAGCCATGGAGATGAGTTTAATTCCAAGTTTAAAGGGTTGTCTGAGAATCATTTTCTTGAAGGTTCTACTGGTCTCTATCAGACCAGTGAGGCTGACCTTTTCCATTTTCATTTTCCAAGACCTATTTGTGGTCACTTTCTGGGTGGTCAGTGGTAGCTGGGCAGCTTCTCGTTCTGATCTCAGGGTCCTACAGGCTGGGTTCATGTGGCCCCTTAACCTTAGTACTGTTAGTCTCCTTGCATTGTTTTACTGGTTTACGTACAAAGTTGATGCACATTGTTTTTCACATTGGCTCTTTCCCCTTTCCTTTACCCTTCCCTCTCTCCACCCATCAAGTTGTATGATCTCTTCCACTTCGCTATGTTCAGGGAGAGACCCATAGTTGCACATTAAGTGGCTTCTCCCAAGCTTTTCAAACCTCAGCCACTACTCACCAAAGTATGTAGCACATTACCTTTGTGGACTGTGTTACAGGTACCAGCCTCTTAAGATACAAAAGGTGAGCTTGCAACATGACCCAGCTGTTGAAATACTGTGCATTTATCCTGGAAAAGTAAAGGAATACTATAAAAGAGAAGAGAGTACAGTGTTTGGAATGACTCCGATTTTCTTTTGTAGGTGAGTAGGACAATATACCTGTCCTACAGAATGATATTATTATGTACATAGAGTTGAAACAGACCCACAGCTGATCTTCCAGCAGGTTTTCAGAGACAGTTACTTGCATGGGAGGAGATTGCCCATCCGTCTCCCACAGAGCGGTTGGTGACCTCGGACCATGTACCTTTGGGATTGCAGCACAACTTCTTGCCACTAGGCCACCAGAGCTCCCTATCCTATAGAAAACTATTAAAAATAAGAATCAGTTCTTTATATTCACATGGCTTAAATGGATCTCAAGGAAATAAAACTGAATGAAGAAAGCCAAAAATACTGTCTGGTTCTATGTGTGTGATTGCTTGACATGACACAATGATGGATGGACTGATGATGGAGAGGGGAGGGGATTGGTGGTTAGTATAAAGAGATCATTATGAGAGGAGTGCTTTGTATCTTGATGGTGTTGGTATCACAGTATATATGTGCTAAAACCATGTAGAATTAAGTGGATATGTGATATGTGTGCGCACACAGAAATTTATGTAGAATCTGGTTAAATTAATAGACAGTATCAATATAACTTTGATCCCTGAAACTGAGGAGGACCTCATGCACTTACTGCAGAGGGTCAAGGACTTCAGCCTTCAGTATGGACTGAGGCTCAATGTCAAGAAGACAAAAATTCTCACCACTGGACCAATCGGTAGCATCAGGATGGATGGCGAAGAGATTGAGAGTGCTCACAGCTTCAGTTTGCTCGGCTCCATGGTCAACACTCTTGGCACCAGTAGCCAGGAAATAAAAAAAAAAAAAACAACGTATTGCAATGGGAAAGTCTGATGTTAGGGACCTCTCTAAAGTACTCAAGAGCAACGGTGTCTCTCTGGAGACTAAGGTGCGCCTGATACAGGCCATGGTTTTTGCAGTCACTTGTTATGCATCAGAGAGTTGGACAATGAGTAGGGAGGATAGAAGGAGAATTGACACCTTTGAGCTGTGGTGCTGGAGAAGAGTATTGAATGTACCATGGACTGCCAAGAAAACAAACAGATTCATCCTAGAGAGGGTTAAACCAGGCTGCTCCTTGGAGGCAAGGATTCTGGGGCTTCGCCTGACATACTTTGGACATGTTGTAAGGAGAGACAGGTCTTTAGAGAAGGGACATCATGCTGGGTTGAGTAGAGGGACAGCGCAGGAGGGGAAGACCCTCTATGAGGTGGATTGATTCAGTGACTGGGGTAATCGGGATGAGTGTGTCAGAGGCAATGAGATTGGCACAGGATAGAGCACAGTTTAGGGCTGTTGTACATAGGGTCGCTATGAGTCGCAAAGGACTCGACAGCACATAACAACAACAACATCAATATAAATTTTCTTTTAGACTTTTACAGACTGATGTTCCTACCACTGAGTCATGTTTTATATTCTTTTTCTTCTAGGAAGACTGATCTCTTTTTCTGGACCTTAATTAGTCTTGTGTTTTGGTTTTCAGCTTCCTCATGAAGATCCTGAAATTTTTGAGGTTGCATCCAAATGTCTGTCTATACTGGTTCAGTTATATGGAGGGGAAAATCCCCACAGCCTGTCTCCTGACAATGCAGAAATCTTTGCTGGATTGCTTGCATCAAAGAAGGACCCCAAGGAGCAGAAGCTTCTGTTGAGGATTCTTAGGCGAGTGGTGAGTCCAGACACAGCCGAGGGGTGGGCGAAGGGTTCAGTGGCAACCAGGTGGACCAGTGGTTTGCGAGTAGTGGTTTTCTTTGACATTAAACTTCTAGAGAAGTTCGCAGAAGGACTCCCAGCTCCCTTTCCTAGTATTCCCTCCTTGTTAACATCTACCACAGTGTATCTACCTGCATATAGAAATATATCCCATAAATGATTAAATGTTAAATATTGTACCTCCTCTTCTCTTTATATTTGAGAGTTTATTTCCAACAAAAAAAAATAGCCTCTTATGTATTATAGGATGATTACCAAATTTAGTGCTAGCACTCTTTTGCTAATCTGCTGGTTGTATCATAATTGTCTTAAGTAACAGTTTTGAATAGCTTTCTTTCCTGGTGTAGATTGCAGTCCAGGCTCTTTGTGTTGCCTTTAGAGAACAAGTCTCTTTAACCTGGGATAGCTCTGCTAGTTTGTCTGTATTGTTCATGATATTTTTTTAAGAATATAGACCAGTTCTTTTGCAGAATTGCCCTTGATGTGAATGTCCGTTTCCTCCTGATGAAATTGAGGAACACCACGAAATGACTATTATGGCCTTTTTTAATGCAATGTGTCAAGAAATACATAATGTGTATTTGTCTCCTGCTGATGAACTTAATTTTGATCATGTGGTTGCATCGATGAATGGTTATTCTTTTTAATTTTATGATTGCTATGAAACATTCTTTTAGCTCTCAATACTCTTCTTGTAATTATTAGCATTCTACTACAGCAGCTCTGATGGCCAAGTGATAAGGAGTTATACTACCAACACAAAAGCACATGGTTCGAATCCACCAGCTGCTCCTTGGGAGAAAACCAGACAGTCTCCTCTCATGCAATTTATAGCCTTAAGAAACTCTGTTGAAGGGTCAGCTACAAGTGGGTTCCAACTTGATGGCACATAACATTCTAATATAAGAAGAAGAAAAGGCAAGTGCTCCTTCTGCTCCAGTTATTTTTTATTTATCATCAGAATAAATTCCTTCATTCTTGTTTTGTTGACTGGATTGTAACCCACTCCTATCCAAGATGTGGCCAGCAGGGAGCCCTCAGGGATATTTAGCTGTCTCTTTGACATGGTCATCTCTTCCTTCCTCCCTCACTCCCTTCTTCTGATCGTAGTGTCGTTTCTCGTCTAGAACTAAGGAACCATGTAAATTTTCGGTAAGATATCTAGAAAGATGCAAAAATGTCTGGATTGAAATGGCACTAAGTCTCAGTTTAACAAAAAAAAAAATGCCTACACAGAGTCAAAATACACATTCCCTGCCGTCTCCTGGAGACTTCCCAGATACCAGTCCAACACTGTGGTATCTCTAATTTAGTGCTTCAAGAATGTTTGCAGACCAGCTGTCTGTGATGAGTGCTTTGAAACCTTTGTTACTGTCTCTATAAATTCTACTCCAAACTTTAAGTGCTATTTGTGTAATTGGGGCTTTTATTTTTTTTTTTATGGTGTTTTTAACAAATTTTTCCTACAGGTGAACACTTCGGATACCTAGCATGTATAAATGCCAATGCAATGTTTTGTAAAGATCAACTTCAATAGAGTTTTTGGTAATAGGCCACTTCTGCATTCATTAATTATTATCAAGTCTATAGGAAGATTTTGCCTAAAAAGGAATTTTAAAATATCACACCTGTTGAGCATTTAAAAGCCGCAATGAGTGAGTTTGTTTCCACCCAATGTCATTTTTTTTAACACCAAACAAAGATTTATTTTAGAAAATAAAAAGAGAGACTTGCATAAGGAAAAGAAAAATGAAAAGCTTTCTAAGATACTCGTGGGCCACTTACTGTTGGGTTTACATTCTATACAACCACACCCAACTGAAGATCCTGAGGACCCAGTCAGCTCAGCTGTGACCTTGGCCGTTCTGAGGCTCTTGGTCCAAGGGCAGCTGTTTCAACTCCACTAGCTGCTTCAAGGGAGAAAGATGGATGTTTTCCTTACCCGGCGGAGGGTCCACGATGCGTCAGTCTCAGCTCAACAGAACAGCAGCAACTGCTTGTGAGAAGCTGAGAGGGGAAAGATCAGCTCCTTGGGAACTTGAAGGGACATTTGTTAAGAACACATTCCCTTCAGGAAGGGAGCCCCGAGCTGAGGGCGCCGTGTGTTTTGAGCCCTGATGGGAGCGTGCCCTCCCCTCCCCAGAGCTGAAGGATGTTGGATGGATTCAGGGAGTGTGGCCCAGAAATACATTGTCCTTCAGTTTACAACTCTGGCGGTGTAGTAGGTGGGGGCTTGTGCTGCCAAGCCAAAGGCAGCGAGCACCTCTCTGGCCATTCAGGTTCATCAGCTGCTCCAGGGAGAAGGGTGGACAGTCTCCTGGCTGCCTTGTGATTTACAGCCTCTGAAAACCCACTGGAGTGTCGGCTGTGTGTCAATTCCAACTCAGTTGCAATGAGGTTGAGTTTTTTAGTTTGACTTTACAGTGTTATTGTTGTTAAGTGTCATTGAATCAAGTATGAACCATAGCAACCCTATGTTTTTATAATAGTTGGCTTTTGAGTGTGAGCTTGTTGTTGTGTTCCGTTGAGACAGAACCATACTGCACCACCAGAGCCACTTCTTACTGTTCTGTGCTGTAGAGTCGGAATCAAATCACAGCACACACTCCAGTGGGGTTTTTCGTTTTTTCTACTGAGAAGGTACTGAGAATCGACAGTGTCGTCTAGAGACTAAAGTGTGCCTGATCCAGGCCATGGTCTTCGCAGTTCCTTGTTGTGCATCAGAGAGCTGGACAATGACTAAGGATGACAGAAGAAGAAGAATGGATGCTTTTGAGTTTTACCGGAGAAGAGTCTTAAGCCTGCCATGGACCATCAAGAAAACAAATTGATCTGTCTTGGAGTGGGTGAAAGCAAGTTTCTCCTTGGAATCTAGGATTTTGAAGCTCTGTCTCATATTTTGGGCTCGTGGTGTTGAGGGACTGGACTGGTCTTTCGATCATGCTTGTAAATGTGGAGGGACAGCACAGGAGAGAAAGACCCCAGATGAGATGGATTGATACAGTAACAGGAGCAATGAGGGTTGGTGTGTCAGAATCCGTGAGACTGGCTTAGGACAGGGCAGGCTTCAGAGGTGTTGTACATAGAGTCACTATGAGTGGTAGGGGTCTTGACAGCACATAACAACAGCTTATTTTTTAATATGTTTATAATTCAGATTCGAGTGGATTTTCAGAGGCAGTTAGTCTCATGGGAGGAGATCGCCCATCCATCTCCCACAGAGCAACTGGGGGACTCAAACTGCATGCCTTTGGGATTGCAGTGCAGCTTCTTATTACCAGGCCACCAGAGCTCTTTAAGTAGCTGCTTCTTGTTGTTGTTATGTGCCATCGAGTCGCCTGTGACTCATAACGACCCTCTCTGTACGACAGCCCTGGACCCTGCTCTATCCTGTGCCGATATTATTGCCTCTGACACACCATACTCCCATTACTCCAGTCATTGGAATCAGTCCACCTCATTGAGGGTCTTCCTTTCCTGCACTGTCCCTCCAACCTCCTAAGCAGAACGTCCCTCTTGAAGGACTGGTCCCACCTTGCAGCATGTCCTGATGAGCTTGGTAATGATTGGTAGAACAGTGGTTCTTAAAGAGCTAGATACCTTTGGAGAATAATGTGGCAGATCGCTTCCCGTGAACCACATGAAGGGCCTTGAATTCTTGAAATTTCTGTCTACAGTTCTCGCCTAGTAGCAGAAACTTTGTAAAACCTAACAAAGAAATAGTGTTTAATTTCTGCTAATGGCATTGGGAATGCTTTGCCCCAAGGGTGCGATTCCTTATTACTAGCTGTATTTAGAGCATCCAGAGAATGTTAGGAAGCCTAAAGATTTAATTATCTGTTGTAATTTACCTGGAAGTGGGGAGAATTTTAGAATCATTCACTGTGCTCTAGCTTTAAAAAGGTGAGATAAATCCTCCGCTATCTCCTAGGCTTACCTGTCCCTGACACTTTATATCAGAGGATGTTTTCCCAGGGTAGTAGTTGTAGTGTAGCTACTTGTTTCTTAATTAAAGTCGTCTTAGTACAGCACTCAAAAATATATGAACTAGACGTGAGCCGTCACACACTTGTTCTGTACCTAAAATTGGCTTAAATGTGCACTACTGACTATTTTATGAAAAGTGAGGCATGACCCAGCAGAGGATGACATTGCTAACTCGCTAACACTCTCACCCCCTCTACCAGATGCAGCGGTACAGTTTGGGGTTGCTTTTTTTTTTAATAGATGATTTGTGTTAAAGATTAATTAAAAATATCCATCCCATAGGGAATCTTCTCTCTTGGCTTTCAGAAAAATCTGGCTGTGCTCATTATCATTTTCCTGCCAAATTCCCAAATGCTCTTATTGGTCCCCTGACCCTTTTCATTCCATCATGAGAACAGGCGTGCTCTGTGCTAAAATAACACTAACATGATGTTTCTTCGTGCCCAGATTCTCTATCGCTCTAAAGAGACCATATGGAAGTAGGAATTCTGTAGCCGTTACTTCTGTTCGGTGTTTGAGGATGGGCTGATTCAAATGGTGCACGTTAAAGGCAATAGAGAACTAGTTTCATTTAAAAGATTAAGGAAATTCTTGCAATCACTTGTTATATGTCAGAGAGTTGAATAATGACTAGGGAGGATAGAAGGAGAATTGATGCCTTTGAGTTGCGGTGCCAGAAAAGAGCATTGAATATACCGTGGACTGCTAAGAAAACAGATTCATCCGGGAGAGGGTTAAACTGGGCGGCTCCTTGGAGGCAAGGATTCTGAGGTTTCATCTGACATACTTTGGGCATGTCGCAAGGAGGGACCAGTTCTTGGAGAAGGACGTCATACTTGGGAGGGTGGAGGGATGGCACAGGAGGGGAAGACCCTCTATGAGGTGGATTGATTCAGTGACTGGGGTAATCGGGATGGGAGTGTCGGAGACAGTGTGATTGGCACAGGACAGAGTGGAATTTAGGGCTGT